ACAGACACTACAATAATTTTACGCTCGTACTTCGCATGTTGTAATTCCTCCAGGGGGTGTAAATGGTCCCAAATATTATTTTGCACGCAGCGTGGATTCCGGCACGTACTTCGACTAGCCAATATCTCCGAGTGTGAGGTCTAGGTATTTTATTCCATCGAATCGAAGCTGTCCTCAAGGTCAGCGAAAGCTCAAATGTTGCGGGTCGGCCCAAGGGGATCCCATTACCCGAAATATATACCCCGACTCGATATTTTTTTTCAGCTCAGTGGCTTGACCCCCCCCCCCCCCCCTCGTGGGAAATTGCCTTTTTGGGAAGTCCCCTATGTACCGTTTCACCTCAAAACACACAACGGGTCGGAAGTTTGTGCTCAGACACAATGTATTCAGTGCTTATAGTGCAATTGAAGTGTTCCCAGACCATTGTGACTCATGTTCAAGTCACTTTTATTTTTCGGACTGGTCGGCAGGGATTGATGGATTGATGGCGACCGCATTGGGTGTGGCTGTACACTCACGTACACATTTCCACGCCCAGATATAGTAATAATGTTTTGGTCTCTACCTCGAAAACGGGCTCAAATGGCACCTGGATGCCATACACATTTGTGTTCAGAGGGCAAAACTGGACCATCTGGGAGGTATATTGAACTATTCTTGGAATGGGAGCCCCTTGGGTCGGCCACAGTTCACTTGCCGAAGGCATACAGTCATCAGCACCTCTTTCCTGATATACGCAAGCCGTCGTAGACAGTGGTGGTCGCCGTCCCATGATGTAGTGCTCGTGTTACAGCGTGCAAGAGGGAGTCGGAGGTTCGACTCCTCCCGGCGGTATAATTTGTCCCCGATCTTTCGTTTTTGTATCACAGCCGGCCAGGGCCATGACCGTGGGTTCATGGCGTTTGACGGGCGTGGGTCCGACACTGGCCATGGCGTTGGCGCGGCGTTGGCTGGGCGCTGCACATTTTCTTTGTTCCTTTGGCAGCGTGAGAATTTGCATGCCTTTGCGGCTAGGTATCGGCGATCACGGAAGAGTTATGTTGAACTTCTTATTTTTGGTATTTCTAACTGATCCTTCTCCGAGGAAAATGGCAGGAGCTTTGTTCTTACCTGTAACTCTCATTTCCTTCAGCTTTTCTGCATGTTTCTGAGACCCGGCGGCGAGAAAGAAATTCCGGCCGGCACCAGCGCCCAAACTGGCTGCAGAACAAACTGACTATGCTGTATAGGTTGAAGGAGACAAGAACCGGGGCACAGACTTGTATGTGCGATGAACTCTCAACACAATTTTAGGCCCAGTGAACTTACCACCGCAGAGCACCAAGTGGAAAACTTGATATCAACGTTGTAAAGGACCAGATTCCCACACTGTCAAAGAGAACAAAGAAATTGTGCAACGCCCAGCCAACGCCGGGCCAACGCCATGGCCAGTGTCGGACCCACGCCCGTCAAACGCCATGAACCCGCGGTCATGGCCCTTGCCGGCTGTGTATGCCGCAGGATGCGAGGCTTCCGGTACGTACTTCCACCAGCCAATCTCTCCGATTCTGAGGCCGAGGCATAGGTTTATGCTGTCGCCAAGTTCAGGAAGTTCAAATGTTTGCGTGTCGGCCACTTGCCAAAGGTGTGCAGTTATGAGGCCCCCTTTCCTGCTCCACTTAAGTCGTCGTAGACCGTGGTGGTCGCCCTCCCATGATGTGATGTTCGAAATCAGTGCGTAAGAGGGAGGGAGTCGAAGTTCGACTCCTCCCGGCGGCGTAGGGGTCCTTCATTCCACGTACATTTTTAGCAGAATTCTAGTGGGAGCATGCATACTCTTACCTGGGGTTCATCGAGCGCGAAGCTATTTTGCTTCACACATTTTGGGCGTGGTACGGTATTATCGCGTTGAAATTGAACCAAGCTCGGAACTAACAAGATTGCGCGTCATAGATGCTCATATCTCAACCGACCAAAAGGTATGAGCAGAAGCGGTCGTAGACCATGGCGGTCATCCCCTCTCTATGTTGTTTGAGCGCGTCAGCTCTCAATTCAGAGGAAGTCGGAGGTTCGAATCCTCCTGGCTGCATAGGGAGTCAACTCGGTAGTTTTCTTTTTTTTCCCCATTCAAGTTTGAACGAAATTGCATTGTTGCCAGTCTCAGTGACTGAGGAAGGGTTTGGAGAAAGCGGTTGTGGACTACAGTGCGCGCTCTCTCTCCTTAAGTACACCGTCCAGTGTGAAGAGGGCGGCGGAGGTGCGATTCCTCACATGCGCAGAAATCCGTTCAGTTAATTCTTTCTCCCCCGTTCGCCGCAAGAATACATGAACGATGTTGGCATTGAGAGGTACTACGGCCTACTTCATTGTGGGCGGGTGTGCTCTTGTCACCTCGTTGTCCTCCTATACTCAAGCCGTCGTAGACTCACTGCATTCCGGGCCTTCCTATGCTGACTCAGTTCAGCCGGATGTAGCTCAGTATGGGTCAATGTAGGGGGTTACAACAGGTCAGTTTAGGTACCTATGCACAGCTGGACAGAATTGAGTTGAGCCGGATGTAGCTCCGTATGGGTCTGCTCAGATGGCCTAGCCTGGGTAATTGTAGGTCAGTTCAAATGCCTACACTCACTTTATGTCAGTCTAGTTTGTACCCGTTTTCAATTTTGGTTTTAAAACTGCATCAGTATCATCGCAATTTACTTGTGCACTTGCGGCCTTTTGGAACTCGTGATCAAAAACCACGGAAAGGATGCCGGGAACGCATTGAGGGTACTCAAAATATTTTTTATTTTCCCAACTTGTGGGAAATTCGACATGGCTTGTGGGCTTGTCAGCTTGGCCACTTTTCCCGCTTGTACGAGCACGTACAAGCGATCACAAGTGATCTGTCAAAGTCGCGATGTGGTTCATTAACCAAGTTGGGTGCGGCTACGCTGGCATCGTTGTAGGCGCCGATAATGATCTGCAGAGGCACGACAACTTTAGTAGCAATCAGAAATAGGTGTTCGAATTAAAAAACCCGAACGCCTATTGATGGCAACAAATGCCTATCCATCAATGACACAGATCGTCCTCGGCAAATTGCCGAATGCGGCCGGCTAGGTTCGGGTTACGCAGCTTTAGTGGTTAGGGTTTTGGTTAGAGGTTGGAGGTTAGAGGTCAGTGGTTAGTGGTTAGGGTTTTGGTTAGGAGTTAGGGTTAGTGGTTAGTGTCAGGGTGAGGGATATATGAAAAAAAACACGAAGGGACTTGTGCAAATCTAGCAGGATTGATGGGCCATCAATTCCACGGTTGGGAATAGGTGTTCGCTCCCATCAATAGGCGTTCGGCCAGACCCCGAATGCCTAATGCTACTAATCTTGTATGTACTCTGATCTGCACTGACCTGCACTTACCTTAGCTATGCTATACCCAGTTATACAGATCTACACAGACCTAGGCAGGCCTAGACAGACCTACATTCATCTATGCAGGCTGTGTGTAGGTGGCACCAAGGGTAGCTCGGTGTAGGCCCCTACGCTCAGGCTAAGTTTAGGAGGCCACGGAATGCAGTGATTGTGGTGGTTGTCCTCCTACGCTTTTCTTCGACCATGACCCAGCGTGCAAGAGGGAGTCGGAGGTTCGAGTCCTCCCGGCGGTGTAGCCAGTCCCAGAATTTCTTTTTTGCGCGTAGCGGGATGCGTGGGATCTGGTACGTGCTCCTACTGGCCAATTTCTCGGAGTGTGGGGTCCAGGTATTTTATTCGTCGAAGCTCTCCTGAAGTTCAGGGAAGTTCAAATGTTGCCGGTCGGCCACTGGGCAAACGTGTGCCGTTATTTGGCCCCTTTCCTGCTACATTCAGGCCGTCGTAGACCGTGGTGGTTGCCCTCCCATGTATGATATGATGTTCAAGAAGCATCAGTGTGCAAGAGGGAATCAGAGGTTCGAGTCCTCCCTGTGGCATACAACTGCAAACTCGTCAACGTTTTTGCATGATACAGCGCTGTTCACGAAACTACTTCTTGGTTTAAGTCTAGTGTCGCAAAAATCGATTTTGAGTTATAAGCCAGAATAGGGGGATTTGGAACCTTATAGGGAAGGAGGCATGGTTATGGAGTCTTATAAGCGGTTATAAGTACCTATAATTGCTTGTAACTTATAGGACCCCCCTTCTGGTTGCATTCGAAATCCAATATTGGTGACATACACACAGGTTGAGTTAAACCGAGTGTATAAGGTTCGAAATCCCCCTATTTTAGCTTATAAGTCAAAAGCGATTTTGCGACAAGGAGAAGCGGCCGTGAACTCTGGTGGTTATCCTTCTTGTACATGGAACATCCACTCCAAGTTCAGAGGTAGGTTCGAATCCTCCCGGTCGTCTACTTTGGAAAGGAACTCGTTTTCGACCACAGGAGTGCTTGCACGACGGTGAATTTCCCGTCTTGGTTGTAAACACCTTTTTTGTATGATACATAATTCTGTGGCCAGCCTTCACTCCTCTGGGATTCTGGGGGTGCATGTAGCTCTAAGCCATTTGCCTCCTTTTTCGATCCCTTCATGCCCATGTTCATCCTCTCTCTGTTCTTCAAGTTCGCCAGTTCCAAATTCACAACAAGTCGGAGGTTCGAACCCTTCCGGCCGCATAAGCCTATAGAGTGATGGTATCTTTGTCCCCCCATCTGAACGAAGTTGCATTGTCGCCAGTCTCAGTGACTGAGGAAGGGACGGTCAGGGAAAGTGATTGTGGACCATGGTGGTCACCCTCTCTCCATGAAGATTATGTGAGGCGTAAAGAGGGAGGCGGAGGTTCGATTCCTCCCAGTCGCATGGGGTCGTAAAGCAGTGAACTTTTTTCTTCCCTCTTACCACAGGTGCAAAAAGCGCTGTTCCGCTTGAACGGCCTCCTCGGTATTGATTCAGAGGAAGGGTAGCGCAAGTTCAATTGTAAATGTTCAAACAGTCATACTTACTACTGCACGTTTACGTAGTCCGAGTCATTTCTGAAAGCATACAGCTATCAAGCCCCTGACACTACATTCAAGCCGTCGTAGACCGTGGTGGTCACCCTCCCATGATATCGTGTTTAATTTTCAGAATCAAAATGTGCAGAGGGGATCAGAGGTTCGACTCCTCCCGGCGGCGTGTTCAGACTCTCTTTCAATTTACTTGTATGATGCAGGATTCTAATGTTGCACACGCGCATACTTCCTGGGACATCGAGATCATTTTGCCGTCGGTATTTGGGGCGCAATACGGTATTAATATAGTGCTGAAGTCGGTCGTTGACTCGGAACTAAGATGATTGAAGCACAGTTAGCGATGCTCATATCTCTCGAGTCTCTCCACGAAAAGGTGGAAGGAGAAGCAGCCGTGGACTATGACACGAGGGGCAAAAACCCAGGCACATGAATGTTGTGTGCCTTAAATGCATGTCCGACGCACATTCCTCATCGATGGTCACAGTGGTAACAAAGTGGTGGTCACCGTTCTTTGTTAGACAAAAGATAGACAAAGAGCAGACAATGAGCAGGGCAGGATTCCCGGTATCGGGGAAATCACACCTGCCCTTTGTCTAGCCTTTGTCCCTTCTTTGTGTAGCAAAGAAGCATAGGGTTATGTTTTATAAGTCCGGTTAATAAACATGTTTCTAAACACCGGTTTATAAACCCGGTTTATAATGGTCAGCCAGAAAGGACCGGTTTTTAATTCGCACAGCCACAGGGCGGTGATCTCCGAACAGGTTGGTGGTATGCCGGCCGGGTGTGAATTGGGCTCGCCAAGGTGAACAGCGCCGACCCAGCACAACCGTGCGTGTCCTCGGCACCTGGGGCGACATTGCTTGACTCGCGTCGGTGCGGCGTGGATATTACAGTTCCATTTTTCCCGAGATTTACTAGCGGACAAGGCCAATCAGATTGGAAGTCTCGGTAATTGGTCGGAGCAGAGTGCGGGAGGCATAGAGGGGGGCAGCAAAGGCCCACGGAGGAAGCGGCGGGAGGGGGAAGTTGAAAAACTCGAATTTTGGCCGATTTTAGGGGCGGTGTTTATAAACATGTTTATAAACGGCCTGTTTATAAACCAAAAATTATAAACTGTTTATAATTGCCCCGGGAATTATAAACAGAACCCTAAAGAAGCATTGTTGAACGGTCACACTATCTTTGTCTCGTGGATCAACATCTGCGAGGGATGTGCATTTAAGGCACACAATGATCGTGTGCCTGCATATTCGCCCCCCGTGTGATGTTCATCCTCTCTGCGTGTGGCGTTTGAACTCCAGGATCAGAGGAAGTCGGAGGTTCGACTCCTCCCGGCCGCATGCGTATTCAGAGTCCCTTTTTTTCCCCCATCGCAACAATACTTGAACCATTTCCAATTGCAGGTGGTCATTTTTGGAAAATATGTACTTACTATTGGACCAGAGGAAGTGCAGCGCCGCAGCGGAAGTGCTTTTCGTCGACTTGTTGGTCACTTTCAAAGGTATACTATTGGTGACTGGGTACTGGGCTAGTCGGGGTAGTGGGCCACTTGGATAATACAGGTCGTTGTCTTGCGGAACTGCGTGGTTTGGTGCTCGGAGGATGGAGTAGGATGTATGACGGTGTTGTCCATCAAATTTCGCGGCAAGGTGATGCGTTGATGGGAAGCTGTGCTCAGTGTAGTTTCGAATAGGTAGGTGCAAGGTAGGTGGGAATTGATCATTCCTTATCTCTGACACTAGGGGCAAAGACCCAGGAAGATGAAGCCATGTGCGATAAACGCACATTCAACACAGATGAACCAGAGATATTGAAAGGCCATACAAAGGATAGGTCACAGTTCAACAATTGCTCTTTGCTAGACAAAGGCTGGACAAAGGCCAGACAAAGGGCAGGGGAGGTTTCCCAGGTGCAGGGAATCCTGCCCTGAGCTGGTCCTGCCCTTTGTCTAGCCTTTGTCTTACCTTTGTGCAGTAAAGAATCATTGTTAAATTGTCACATTACCCTTCGATATCTCCGGTCCATCTGTGATGGACGTGCGTTTATCGCACATGATTTCATGTGCGTGGGTCTTTGCCCCTAGTGTGAACAGATGGCGCGCTCTTCCTTAAAGTTCCTTTGCCCGTTCCTCAGCCAATTCTCGGCCGATTCACAAGTTTGAGGGCTTATCTTGTGGCCTCTACCTCAAGGAATCTTCTTAATCGACACTGGACACTGAAATGACCCTAAATTCCCCGTTATTCTCGTCAAGGATGGTCAAACCTTCTTCTGGATGCCGCAAGACAAACCACTGCATGGTGACCCACCTGACACTGCCGTGCGACCAGCGGTATGTGCAATTGGTACATGCATTCCAACGACCCACCCCCTCCATTCCGTCCTCAACCCTTCAGTTTCGCGTTGACCGTGCGTCATTTCATCAAAGCAGCCAATTTCAGTGTTGGAAACAAATGTATTTTTCTCGGGGGGTTACTGCTTTGGGGTGACCATCCAATGTAACTAGGTATGTGATATTGCTTCTTATCTATCCCTCCAGCACTTAATTTTGACCAATGTTGGTCTCTCTGCTTTGTAGCGCGCGCGATTTTGTCGATACTGCAGGGCCCAATTTCCCCCATCTCCCCTTGGCGGAAGCGCTAGTAATTATAACCCTTGTACACCTTTAATTTGGGATTTAAGTGTATAGAATCATGCATTCGAACCACCTGAATGATATTGAGTGCTCTGGGGTGCACGATACTAGTCTTGGCAACTGATTTGGGCAGGTGGCTCACTACCCCATTTATTTCCATTCTGTCGCTGACGGCTCAGAGCATGGCCTTCCCAGTATGTTAGTCCTTACCCAAGGGTCGAAATATGGGTACCTGAAGCACTGTATCAGCTGGCCAGAGAGCAAAAGATGGCCCAGTACTGGGTGACATATAGTATTCAAGCCGCCGTGGATCGTGGTGGTCGCCCTGCTACAATTCAATATCACGCAAAATCCACTGGCACGAGGGTCGGAGGTTCGAATCCTCCCAGCGGTGTGAAGTGCGCCAGAAAGTATTTGCACGCCGCGGAATGCGAGGATCCCCCTACATACTTCCACTGCCTTTTTTCCGATTCTGAGCCGAGGCATAAGTTTATTCTCTCAGTTCAGCGGAAGGTCAAATGTTGCGGGTCGCCACGGGCCAAACGTGTGCCGTTATTAGCCCCCTTTATTGCTATATTTAAGCCGTCGTAGACCGTGGTGGTCACCCTCCTGATCTGTTTTTTTTTTTTTTTTTTTTTTGGAGCGTTTGGTGACCCTCCTGATCTGGTGTTCAAGAAGCATTATCGTGCAAGAGGGAATTGGAGGTTCGAATCTTCTCGGCGGCATGTTTCTTGGGTGTCTGAGAATTTTGGTGGTTGGCGCACGCGCATACTTTCTTTCACCTGTTGCACCGGCATCGAGCGCGAAGCTATCTTGCTTCAAATATTTCGGGCGCAGTACGGTATTACTTATCGCGTTTAAATTCATCCATTGCCCAGGGTGAGACGTACTTTTTGCGCGTTATCGATGCACATGTCTCCATCCACGACAAGGTAGAAGGAGAAGCGGCCGTAGACCATGGCGGTCATCCTCTCTCCATGTGGGCATTTTTGAGTCTGATCAGAGGAAGTCGGAGGTTCGAATCCTCCCGGCCGCTTAATTTGGAGTTCTATCTATTTTATTTGACCACAGGAATCCTCAAGGGGCATTAAATTGCCAGTCTCACTGACGGATGTGCAGTTAGAGAAAGCGACCGTGGACCATGGTGGTCGCCCTCTTTTCATGAGGATGGCGTGAAGCGTAAAGAGGGAGACGGAGGTTCGATTCCTCCAGTTCCGTATGCGAATGAAGCTAAAGTTTTGTTTACTGCCCACAAGGGCACGACTGCCGTGTTGATTGATACATTGCACCAAGGTAAAAGTCGTCTCCCTTCAGCGGAAGATATTTGTAGGCATATACGAGTATACTATTGTAGGTGTTAAGTAGTCCGAGTCATTTCTGAAGGCATACAGCTGTCAACCCCCGTAGCGCTACATTCCAGCCGTCGTAGACCATGGTGGTCGCCCTCCCAGGATATGAGATTTAACATGAAGTGCAAGAGGGAGTCGGAGGTTCGATTCCTCCCCGTGGTGTAATATGTCCCATATTTTTTTGCGCCCCGCGGGATGCGTGGATTTCAGCACTTACTTCCACTGGCTTTTTCTCCGAGTCTGAGGTCAAGGTACTTGATTATCAGGCAAGTTCAAATATTTGCGGCTCGGCCACAGTCCACTTGCCAAACGTACGCAGTCAATAGCACCTTTTCCTGCTATATTCAGGCCGTCGTAGACCGTGGTGGTCGCCCTCCCATGATATAACACCCAGAATCACCGTGCACGAAGGAATCAGAGGTTCGATTCCTCCCTATGGCGTACAACTGCAAACTCGTCACCGTTTTTGCATGATACAGCGCTGTTCACGAAACTACTTCTTTCTTCAAGTCTGGGCGTGAAAGTTACAAGCAGAAGCGGCCGTGGACCATGGCGGTCATCCTCTCTACGTGGGCGTTTTTGAGCTTGATCGAGGATCAGAGCAAGTCGGAGGTTCGAATCCTCCCGGTCGCATGGTGTATTAATCGAGAAAACATTGTTTTCTTTTGCTCCCGGCCATAAGAGGCGCTGAATTGTGTGCAGACGTGCAAGCCCGAGTATCCACCAAATCATAAGGAGTTCACGAGCTCCACCAAAGGAACTGAAGCGACCATTTTCAACGTTGCTTGTGATCTAGAGGTTCTCGTCGCAACCACAAAAGGAGGAGAAGGACTTCACAGGGAACAAGCACTCAATCCCGCAAATATTGCGGTGCACTCCCGACCCCCAATCTCGCGCCTTGATAGTTTTTTGGATGACGCGGGATGCGTGGATTTCAGCACTTACTTCTGTTGGCTTTTTTTCCGATTCTGAGGCCGAGGCATAGGTTTATGCTGTCCCCAAGCTCTGAGGAAGTTCAAATGTTTGCGGGTCGGCCACTTGCCAAAGGCATACAGCTACCAGCCGCTCTCACTCCTATACTCAAGCCGCCGTGGACCGTGGTGGGGCGTCGTACGGAGTGCATTTTATTTGGTCCCGGTCATGAGAGGCACCGATTTTTGTTTTTTTTGCAGGCGTGCAAGC